TAACCCGCTTTATTTCGACAATAGGGTCTAAAGATGGCTGACTGATGGGCAAGCGGTGGGCGCTTAACAAATAGTTTAGGTAGTGCTCAACGAGGAAACTGTTATCTTGTCCTTATGAAAACCAGGATTAACTATTACTGTCATCCTTTCACATTCCAGGCTCATTGTCCCTTGCTGGACAGACGATCAGTTTGAAAAAAGCACCAACAACTGAATACTTTCGTTTATAAATGGTTGGAAAATATGCAAAATGCAACTAAAAGCATAATTAATTCTCACCCCTGATGCCCAAATGTTTTTGAAAAATCGAAAGAACCACATTGGGGTTAAATTATTAAATATTTTGCTTAAAACCTTCTAATAGAGCATCTCATTTGTGATATAGGAATGGAAATAGCGAGGTTTTATTGATTTGTTTCTTCATATTTCATTTAATTTGACGGGAAATTAAGTTACTAATCATTATTTTGCGCTAATCTTTGTTCCGGGTTAGACGTGATAATAACATTAATATAACGAATTCATTTTACTTGCTGATGAAATCATATTATTTTCTACCCACTTTTTAAGCAATATAAATTTATTTTCTTTTAGTAATTATTATTTGAATACCTGTAACCCGAGATGCTTAGGCTAAGCCAATTTCACAAAGACATTGAATCATTGAACTTAACACCGTCAGATCAATTTCCTGATGGTTAAAATGTGCAATTTATTATTTGTAATGGATTTTATCTAATTGAATTAGTGGGCTGATTTGTTTGAGGAACTGTTAAAGCTGTCTTTATTGAGTAGTGCATTAATAAATTCTATATTAAAATATACAGATGATAGTTAATATTATTGTTACCATTGGTGTTCAACTCATTTCATTTTTTTCTGGAATGGAAAACTCACGCTTACAAAGCGAAATCTTTTCCAAGATTATTAGTTCAATTTCAGATTTTGATCTACTACACTTTATTCTTCGTGGGGAATTCTTGCTCATACTGTAAATCATGGTATGAACCTCGTTCCAAATATCAAAAAAACTATGCTTTCGCGTTTAAGTGTTCATCATAACAGACTCAAGACTCAAATATTCCGCCACCGCCACCGCCCTCTTCCTCTCTCTGACTTTCCTACCTTTCGTTAATTGAGTTAGCAACCAATCAACGATTTGGCTCGTTCGTTTTAATCTCCTCTTATGAATAATTAACCTCTAATGAATAATTATGCATGAGAAATGGGCCAAAGGGAGTTAGTAATGAGTTCAAGAAGAGGTTGGCCATTTTGTACTGCACTATAAACAGGATGGGTAAAACGGTTGTCAGGCCAAACCTGTTCCAGTAATAAGTAGTCAATGGCCAATCGTAAACAGAACGTATTTTTTAATTAATTTGCCCAGAGGACAAAGTTTCAATTTTGTGCATATAATTATTTATTTTCATGAAATAAATTACCAAAATGATACTAGTAGGCACCATTGATATTAAAGGCATAGCGATCTTGTCTTCTTTAAAATAAGCCAACAATAGACCGTCCAACACGAACACTTTAAATGCAGAGAGATGATTTTCTGCCAAATTTAAATAACCCTATCAGGTGTGCGTTCAAGTTAAAGACACAAAACTGGTGTAGCATGGTTAGCTTATTTCAAAACTATGCAAACGCATTTGTTAAATTTTAAGAAATATTATTATATCGTTAAAATTATTACTATACTATATTCTATTTTAAATTTTAAGATTTCATGAGCACTCCAAAGTTCTTGTAGATCCAAAAATTTCCGACTTGCAGGTGCTTATTATTGGGTTTACAGAGATGAAATGCTCCCTATTTCAAGAAAAACGACTCTGCTCATACACAGAAGACCGATTTTACTAAATATTGTGCAAACTGAACTCAAACAACAAATGAACTAGGGCTTTGTAAAAGTTTAATGTGTAGAGTGCGGGGTGTGCGATAGACTTACCTCCACGTGGTGCACCCAGGGCAACGTATACTCATACGGCAAAAAAGTCTATTAACTGGCAGTTGACTTCTGACTGCCATGACCCCACTGTATGTCATATTCGACTACTTCCACAGTACTCACTTCACCTTTTTTCTACCATTTCTACCTTCGTCTTTGAAACACTCTTCTGTTCCTTCCCACCCCTCTCGACTTTTTCACTTTGATGTTCCTTCCCTCTGTGAAGCCTGAAGTCAGACTATCAAAACGTCTGCCATTGATATCATGATAATAATAATAATAATAATAATGTGTAGAGTGCACAACGCTACCATAGCTGAACAAGGAAATTTCATGCGCACTCGGTCTCGGCCGGGTCACTTTTCTTGTAGGGAGTAATCAATAGTCGCTGAATTGTTCAACTAACCCTTAACTGTATTTTAATCACAAATACAGCTCAGAATCGTTTGGATCCACAACCCTTCATCTCATATTATACTTACTGCTAACTGACTTCAAACGCTTCTCGTAATCAAAATTTACTTTTTATTTCTGAGAATATTACTAATAAAGATATCAATAATGATGAAGAAGAAATGGTACCCTGTAATTGTTCTCAAAATCCTTTCCATTCTCCCACCTTCTTCATTTATCGAATTTCCACCAAATTGAAGTTGTAAAAATGTAATTTTTATTAATCCAAATGGTCTACTGGCTTTGTTTTATTTTCTTTTAGGCATTTTCTCTTCACCCAAAATTGAAATATATCACGGCTCCTTAAGTGTATTTGATTTTTTCATAATCACATTTGTTATTTTTTTGCGTTGTCATGGTTGGCTGTAACAAATAGATAAACTAAATCCAACATAATGTCAAGGCATTATACTCCTGTCGTATAAAATGGTATTTTTTCTTGACAACACCATGATTTGCTTTTTGCTTTATGCCAAAGCTGACAGTATCGATATTATCATTTATGACGGTGGTTTCTGGCAATTCACAATGACTATGCAAGTTTAGATACTTATCATGAACTGAAAAATAAAATGCACAATAAACAATTAATTAAATAGTTTTTTTAAAGTTTTATAAAAGAGAGCGAGTCTATCATTGCGGTGATGGAATTTTATGGAATGGGGAATAGTATTTATTCCTGGTTAAGAATGGTTTCTATGTTGTGCTGCTACGCGTCAATTTCAGGATACGCAGAGTTTAATTTACTGATGTGACTTCTTTGAACTCAGGTTTCCCTTCAGGAACAGCATACATCCTCAAGTGGTTTATTTATAAATAGACGGCTGAATATCTTATATGTAATCTTTGATAAATCTCTGTGTCCTACAAGTCGTTCTTTAAATTCAGTTCATTAATAGTAGAGAGGAATAACTTAGAAAAAGCATGATAAGATATTTGGTTCATTGAATTCTGAACCGTTTACGAATTTTCTGTTTCGCACTAAAACGGTTAAAACAAATTGAGGGGCATACATTTGATCTGCTAAAATTAAACATTAATTTCCATTTAAACTTGTATGTACCCCAAATTATTACATTGATACAGCGAAATGATCAGAGTTTAAGGAACTATCCTGTTGTCACCCTGTGTTGATTTGAATCCTCCATTAGTAGGACTCCCGCTCTCTCAACTTCTTGATGACCAAACGCTAGCTTTTAGGCTACCATTGGAATTCCAATTGTACCGGCTAAATTTTAAATTGTAGATACCCAGTTAAGGCCTTTCCAGTGGGTTTATCTCTACCCCTTCAAGTTCCAGGTCTTTCTCTCAACAACTAACTAACATATCTCCAGTGACATCTAGCCAGCTTGTTTCAATCTACAGCCCCTTCGAGCAGCTTATATCCATGACATATCTGCTACCTCTTACTTATTTCTCAATAAAATGTTATAACAAACAAATATTTTGCCTTCCAAATTTATGCAGCACTGTATTAAATCATTCTAGTATTCATACACATAGTAAACTTTAATATTTTTTACGTTGACTCCTCCTTTGTTATTAATCACACTTGTTACATGTAACAATGTTCAAATTCACCGATGGCTTAGAAATACAGCTAAATTATTTAAAATAAGCTTATATTGGCTGATTTTAGTAAATTAAAATTATGGTATCTTTTAGCGTGTTATTTACTAAAACAAAAAGAAGGGCAATCAAATTGATATGGAGCGTTATTGTAAATTATGTGCATTCATGCAATTGATTGAAATCCCCTTTGAAAACAGACACAATACCTTATCTTCTTCCTATTTCTGATGTAAAGCAACTCCGTGAAGCAAAATTATTGGATCAAAAGGCTTATTTGGGTTTTAATTTGCTTAGCATTGATAAAAATTTCACGTCGTTAACTGGAATTAATAAAAATCAAAAGAATACGTAAATATTGAAACGACTCAACAATTAAACTGGAAATATACTATGTTGTAGCGGACTGCTACACTAGTAAAGCAGTGACCAACTCAGAAATCTCTATAGCAGTATCTCCCATATCTGGCTAGACTCCCTGAACTAGCTAAGCTACAGCGAAGTCAGGGAGGAAAGATACGTGTTGCTGAGACCACGTTTATTGTAGATTATGGAATCGTCAAATGCAAATAGTTTTCAAATAAATCTAACATATTTTGAGTGAACATTAGTAGCTAAAGATCTGAACAGAGCTCTACGTGTTCTGACGTGTTCCACAATGTCATAAGCAATCGCTTAATTGAACTAAATATTATCAATTTCCGCTACTCAGAACAAAAAATTTCACCATTTGATTTGTAATTAGAATACTGGAGCAACAAAAAATAATACACGCACATTTTGAATATTTATACAATCCATAATTCGACTAAATCTTTTAACTTTATTCATTAAAAAAGGTTGAAAGAAATATTTTAATCTTTATTATAAAGTGACGAACCGATATAAATAATAAATAAATTTAGATTTAATAAAATAATATTTAATTAAGCTAGAATATTTTAGATGTTTGCTCTGTTATTTTAATAATTTAGGCATACATATATCAAGTTTTCCATATTCTTTCTTTAAATAACCTCCAAATATGAGGCGTGGCTCAGATTCTGGAGGGTATAATTTGATTTTATTATTCAGGTTTCAAAATTATTGCAGCAATAGTATGTGAAATTTACATATCCTTTAAAAGATTTCTATTTACTGTGAGTCCTTGCTTTAATGTGGCAGTTTCTATTAATGTTTTGTAATCCCTGATCTCCATTTTTATTCCATCGAAAGGCTTTCACTATAATAATTTCTTCTATTTTTGTTAGTAATTATATCTCTACATTACTCTTTCTTGTAGCTATCCCTATAGACCTTATTACCCTAGTGATAATGGCTATAATACACAACCGCCGAGGTAAATATATATTTGATTATATAATTGCTATTGTGCTCCACTTTTTAATTCCTTTATTTTTTCAGATATCCTCCCCCCATGCAGCCTTATTGTGGTCTTCCATCAGCATTCGGCCGACCCCCATTTAATCACCAAAACTACTATGCACAAAGCTATCAACCTCAACCCCACCCCGACCCAATGGGGAACTGGTGTCCTCAATATTTGCCACCATATGCTAATCAAGGATATCAGCAGCCAACTGGAAATCAACGAATAATTACTCCATCAGCTTCCGATTCCCATGGCGGTAGAAGCCAAAATAGGCTCTCAATTTGGAAAGAGAAGTGCAGTCGAGACCCTTGGGAAAATGTTAAACCAGTGTCAGTTCCGAGTGGTGGAGATCGGCTTGTCACAAGCACTGTTAATCTACGTCATACGGATCTTCTAGGAACAGATTTCAATAAGCGTTGACTTTCTTGATTGGTGTATTTGACGCAGATTTGTGATTTTATTGTAAATGAATTCTACTAGGTGCTTTTGACATTCATCTTGTTAGGCTTTATTGTTCAGTTTTACTGATGTATAACCTGTGAATGTATTTTGCTTTAGGTACTCATTTACGCCCCTTTTTCTTACCTGTTTCACAATAATTTTTTAGGTTTTCAACTTTTCAATTGCCATTAAATAGGGTTGTATATAACGGTTGTTATTGCAGGTCCTTCTGGGTTTTGAGTATTTGTGTGTAATTAGTTACTTCTACTTTTATCTTATAAGTAATATTGATTATGTTGCATTAAATCGAAGTTAAACCACTATCTGGTGGAGCCTTTGTGAATTGTAGCAAGCCAGACTTCATTTCTTTCTTTTTTAAGAAGATAATTAGAAGGAATCTTGTTTTACTTTTCAGCTACCTTAATCTAGTCAAGTTTATTTGCACTGTTTAATAATTCAAAATTTCAATTCAACTAATTGATCAAGTACTTTTAAGATGCTTGTTAGCATTTAACATAAAAGGAAACATCTGAGTAGCTTGTGAGAACTTTTTGTAGCATTTTGTACTACTGGGGCGCTTGCAAGAGGAGTGAGAATGACACTCAAACACGGTAGAAACTTAGCCGTTGAATAGATTAGGTTATATGCTCATTTGTTGATAACTCGCTTACCAATAGGGCAGGGTGGCCTCTTCATCTCTCTGTGTTGGTACTTTTAGCATTTTCGGGTCATTTGTTTCTATTTTTGAGTTTCCTACCCGTTCTTATTACCTTGATGTTATTTAATAAGGACCTATTTAGGTCACACTCCGTTGAGGAATGTGCAAAGAGATACCAACTATTGATAGCAACGACCTTCTCTGTGATATAGACTAACAGAGCTGTAAAAGGTGGAAGTAAATTGAAGAGAAATATTCAGAGAAGGTAATAAGATGTCAGAGTTAGAAGTTGGATCGATCACTGCAGACTAGAACTGGTTAATGTTTCTGTAGAATTTGGAGGTAGGTATTAGAACTGCGAAGGCATACTGCTAAATAGAGAAAGATAATAAGTGTGAATTTTTAGTTTTTAGAGTTAGAAGACATTTATAATAGTGTGAATATAGACTAAATGATCTGATTCTGGAGTTCGAAAACATTTGAGCAATGTGTTCAAAAATATTAAACTTTTTTAAAAATTCATTCTCGATGAATCCAAGAAACAAGCGCTTGTTTTGTTATTATTATTTATTTTAACTTTATTATATTTCCCTATCCACCCAGAACTGCTCTCACTTTTAGCTTTGTACATCGATAGGTATTTAAATTTTTTAAGTAGTATGCAAAATTTAAAGTAGGAGAATAACGGAATTTTCCTCCAAAAATTGGACTAAATTAAGCAGATACCCTTGAGTATAGGTAACGCTGAATTGTAGCGGATTGCTACGCTAGTAAAGCCTGGCTTAAGTCTCAGAGACCTTTGTGATAGATTCTCCTAATTACTGAGTCTCTAGAAGAAAGAGACGTGTCACTGAAACGTTTATTCACCAGATAAGGATAGCGAATTGTAATTTTTGGAAAAGCGATTAGTTATCAGATAAATCTAGCATAATTCGCGTGAACATTAATAGCTAAATATCTCTGAGTAGTGTTCTGTAGTAGGATTTCTATTGGTCATTGATGAAGTGTCCCACACCATCCTATCCTATCAAAAATACGATGCATTTTGGTCCATATTCTTCTTCTTCAAACGAAGTGAATTACAATTGATTGAAAACTCTAAATGCAAATATCTAAAAATAAAACGAGCAGGTGTTAGGCATTAGACAATGCCAATTTTATTCGTGACACTTTTCAGTGCTATTCTCTTGCGTCTTGAAACAATTCAAATTCCATTTTCACATTTTTCTCACATTAATTACATTTGAATATTATTAATCCAAATCAACTCATAAATAATATTCAACCCGAATGCAGATATGTTTCGAAAAGAAGTATGTCTGATTTTATATTATCTCCACCTAAGATGATTACTACCTTAATATTTTTTATTAATTTTCAATTTAGAGCCCTTCCAACCTAAATGGGGAAAGCAGCTCCGAACTCTTCGAAGCAATTTACCAAGGTGACAGCCAAACCCTTTCAGTTCTATTGCAATCTGGAGTAGGAATTTTGCTTATATTGCCCATTCGATTCCTCCTTTCCTAGGTAAATCCTAATTCGAAAACACCATTTCTGCAAAAAAGTGCTCTGGAAGAAGCGAGCAAAAGAGGAGATGAAGTAATTGTTGCCCTGCTTCTTGAAGCTGGAGCATGCGTGACGGACGTCGACCTGGCAGCTTGTACACCGCTTCACCACGCAGCTCATTCTGGCCACCTCGGATGCGTGCGGCTGTTAGTGGAGCATGGAAGTGCCCTTGAAAGTCTAGATGTATTCAAGTTCACCCCCCTTATGAGCGCTGCCAATAAAGGTCATCTTAATGTTGTTCAGTATCTCTTCAACAAGGGGTCAAAAGTCTTTACAACTGTCCCGTGTCATTCTGCCCTAAGTGTTGCCGCTGGAAAGGTAAGACTAATTTTTCTAATGTTGTCACTCACTTAGGGTTATGCAGAAATTGTCGAATTGCTCTGTGATAATGCAGAGAGAGTTGAAGACATGGAGATGGAGCTCTATTCGGCAATGCTTGCTGCCGCAAAAGGGGGTCATCCTGATGTTGTTAGGGTTCTTATTAGAGAAGGAGCTCCGGCGAAAAGACCTGAAAAGTGCTCAGAGTCTGCCATTATTTGTGCGGCGAAGAGAGGTCATACGGAGGTAATAAAATTACTGATAAGACATGGCAAGGGTGATGTTGAGGAGACTGATAAAAACGGCTATACGTCGCTAATGAACGCTCTTGTGAATGGGCATAATGAAACGGTGAAGACTCTACTATTGCTTGGTATGTAATGCTAACGGTCTTGGTCATTTACGTTACCCTTTTTGCCTAGGTGCTCAGCCCCTGAATATCTCTGCCTTTGACGAATGGCCATAAATAGATTTTCAATCTACTCAAGGATTATGAAGATGCTTCTAAAAATCTTGAAGTCTAGTGCCTGTTATTTACTTCTTTCAATAGGATTCTAAATATCAATTTTATAATTTTGTAGTCGTTTGTTTATTATTCTTATAAATGTGCTTTTATTGACCCATAAAGTTTTTCTTTTAAAATCTCTACTCATTTATATGTAATAAAGTATGATACTGTTGCCCTTCTGAGTAATTTTAATGGTTAAAGGAATAAAGAAGGATAAAGAATGTGTAGCGGATTGCTACTCTAGTAAAGCCTGACCGTCTCAGAAATCTCTGTGGCAGATCCTCCTACATCTAGCTAG